AAGCCCTAATTTTCACTTGTGTGAGGAGAAGAGAGGATATAATACGGAAGGTTAGTTGAGTTGGAGACTCAGAAGGCTTGGTAGAAAGGCCAGGCAAAGGCCCCTGGTGAAGCAAGTCACAGTTGACTGGGGAGTAAGAATAAACACTGAATTTGGAGGACGCTGGGGGTTCGTAGTGAAGTGAAGATTCAAGTCAGGACCTGAAAGCTGGGGGCAGGGGGTGGAGTTACTCTGGTAACTGGAGTTACTCTGGTCACTTTGGTGACCGATGTGTAAGTTCCTTGCCCTTGAGAAGCTTATACTTTATTGAGAGAAGTAGACTGTACGTAAAGAAACATGAAGCATGACTACAGATGGGAATAAGTGCCATGAGGTCAGATTAGGAAATAATTAAAACAGGTGCTGGGGGAGAAAACATCAGGGGACACCTATTTTACATAAGATGTTGAGGGAAGGTGATATTTAAACTATACCCTGAATGATAAGGAAAGCCAGCAATGAAACAGCCAAGGAAACATATTTTAGGGAGACAGAACAGCTAACTCAGAGACCCTGAGATGAACAAAGATCGCATAAAAGACAAGATTCAGTGGCATCCAGAGGTGAGTAGAGGGAGCATGTGCTCATTTGATTAAAAAAAAAAAATGGCTGTAGGGGCACCTGGGTGGCACAGTTGGTTAAGCATCCAGTTCTTGGTTTTGGCTCATGTCATCATCTCAGGGTCCTGAGCTCAAGCCCTGCATCAGGCTCCGCGCTCCCCATGGAGTCTGCTTAGGATTCTCTCTCCCTCTGCCCCTCCCCACGGCCCTCTTTCTCTCTCTCAAATAAATAAAAAAATAAATCTTTTTAAAAAAATATTTTTGATGAGGTTGCCATCCTCATCAAAAGTGGAGGAAGTAAATCAAATGAGTGATTTTTTTTTTCTAAAAGAAAAACAACTCTATTTTCCTGAGTATGTGATTGACTGTAAGCAGAAAGTCCTTCCATGTTATAAGCGGCTTACTCCAGCTCAGGTATACAAAGATCTCCTGGGACAAAATACAATTTCAATACAGCAACATCACAATCAGGATGAACAGCTTGATTTTGGAGGAAAAGAACATACTTTCCCATCAGAGAGACTCAAGAGAAAAGAATTATGTCAATCCAGTCTAGTTGTAAAACTTTATATGCCACAAAATATATTTAGTTTGAAAAAAAGCAAGATGAAATCTCCTAAGAAATACCAAAGCACGAGGCCAGTTTGCTTATGAGGTTCTGAAGCAATTGTCTGAGAAAAAGCAATAAGGTGGCTTTACTTTGCCTGAAATCAGAAGCTTGTAGCTACTACATTTCACTTTCATACACATGTATGAGGGTTAAAACAACCTGGGCCTAATGATGTTTATTGTGCATTAGCAGAAGAAAATATTAAAAGTACTTATCTGTTTTGGCTATGCTGCCATTGATAATAGCATGCAGAAACTGAATAGAACACCGACACAGGAAGTCCCTATCACTGACCAAAAAAAGAACATACTTCTCGGGCTAAGTATGCTGAGTTCTGTCCTACAGACTCTGGATTGGTAACAATGAGTTTTGAGAAGGTGAGATTATAGCTATATGAGTCTTTCCTATGTTAACTATGATAATTCATATGTTAGCTATGATAATTCTTAGCTTAGATGCTAATGTTGAACCCTAAGCTTAATTCAGGTATCACTACTTATTTAGTGTAAATCAAAAAGAAACTAGTAGAAATCAGGAAAAAATGTCTATTTAGAGGTTGAAAAGAAAGTTAAACAAGTTTATATTTAAAGTAATCATGAAAAATACTACCAACAAAAAAACCAACAAATTATTAGTCTTGGCAAAGCTATCCTGAAAAAGAAAAAACAAAGCTGGAGACATCATGCTCCATGATTTCAAACTTTACTACAAAGCTAAAGTAGTTAAAACAGAACAGTATTTGCATAAAAACAGGCACATAGATCAATGGAACAGAATAGGTAGCCCAGAAATAAACCCATACTTACATGGTTAATTTACAACAAAGGAGACAAGAATATGCAATGGAAAAAGACAGTCTCTTCCACCAACAGTGTTGGGATAACTGGACAGTCTCATGCAAAAGAATGAAACTGGACCACTACCTTACACCATGCACAAAAAGTGACTCAAAATGAATTAAAGACCTAAATATGCAACCTGAAACTATAAAAGTGCAAGGAAACATAGGGTGGTATGTTCCTTGACATAGGTCTTGGGTGATTTTTTTAAATCTAATATCAAAAACAAAAACAACAAAGGAAAAATAAACAAGTGGGACTACATCGAACTATAAACCTTCTGCACAGCAAAGGAAACCATCAACAAAATGAAAAGGCAACCTACTGAATAGGAGAAAATATATGCAAATCATACATCTGATAAAAGGCTAATATCCAAAATAAATGAAGAACTCAAACAATCTGGGTGTCTGGATGGCTTAGTCAGTTAAGCGTCTGCCTTTGGCTCAGGTCATGATCCCAGAGTCCTGGGATCGAGCCCCGCATGAGACTCCCTGCTCAGTGGGAAGCCTGCTTCTCCCTCTCTCTCTGCCCCTCCTCCCTACTCCTGCTCTCTCTCTCTCTCAAATAAAAAAATAAAATCTTAAAAAAAACACCTCAATTCAATAGCCCAAAAAACCCAAAAAACAACCAACAATCTGATTAAAAATGGGAAGATCTGAAAAGACCTTTTTCCAGAGACATACAGGTGGCCAACAGACACATGAACAGATGTTCTACATCATTAATCATCAGGGAAATGCGAATCAAAACCACAGTGAGATATCACCTCACACCTGTTAGAAAGGCTATTTATCAAAAAGTCTAAAAATAACAAGTGTTGGCAAGGATGTGGAGGAAAGGGTGCCCTTGTTCACCATCTGTGGGAATATAAATTGGTGCAGGCCCTATGGAAAACAGTATGAAGGTTCCTCAAAAAATTAAAAAATAGAATTACTATATGATCCAACAATTCTACTTCTGAGTATTTATCCAAAGAAAATGGAAACATTGGTTCAAAAAGATACATGTGCCCCTATGTCCACTGCAGTATTATTTACAGTAGTCAAGATATGGAAATAATCTAAGCGTCCATCAATGAATGAAGAACATTACTCAGCAATAAAAAATAATGAAATCTTGCCATCTGCAATATGGATGGACTCTGATGGCATTAAGCAAATGAAATAAGTCAGAGAAAGACTAATACTGTAAGCTCTCTCTTATATGTGGAATCTTGAAAAAAAAATTAAGAAAAATCCAAGCCCCCTGATACAGAGAATAGATTGGTAGTTGTCACAAGTTGGGTGGAGAAATAGGGGAGAAAAGAGTGAACTGTTTTTGTTTTCTTTTTAGTTTAAATAGATTTATTAAAAAAAAAAAAAGGATCCTGAATAAAAATGCTCAGAAGTTGTTTAGATAGATTTTTACAGTGTCAGATAAATCCAGGGAACAATTTTAGTTTGGGACAGATGAGACTAAATTTGATTCTGGAAATTCTCAAGAAAAGAAGTAACATAAGTTATTTGGTAGGATCTGTTTGATTTTCACTACTTGGCATATTTAAAGTATGTGTATATAACTTCACTAGTTAATAGGGGATTTTGTTAGATGTGTATATTTCTAACAGAGGTTTCACACAAGAATAACATACATCATATTTTAAGAGATAAAACACATATAAAATACACACGTATCAGTTGACCTGGAAAACTAGAGAATTACAACCCAAGGTACAGCGTGGGATAAGGCAGAAGTCCAGCTGGAAATCTTATTGAAAAACTTTTCTTCAGTAAGATAGTTACTAAAGGAATCTTGGTTCTAAGATTTACACTCACTATCATGAGTAGATCATTTAAGACATATAGAGAATCAGAGAAAGTACTAGCAAATTACAAATACAATTTAAGAGAATAAATATATTTACTATTATTTATTACAGTATAAGCACATCTTAACTGGGGGACGTAATTCCCAAACTTGGAAAAATTACAAACTCAAAATTAAGAATCCAACTTGCAGAAGAGGTTACACATCTGTGAACTTGTGAATAGCTTAGGTTTACAAGTCAGTATCCATACTGATACTACAGCATTTATTATATGTGCATCTTATCTACCTTTTTAGATAAAAGGTTCTTTGAGGGCACATGAGAAGTAGGAAAGTCTGGGCATGGGTCTCACTTTGGACATTCAGCTTTTGCACCTTCGGGCAAGTCACTAGGTTTCCGGGTCTGAGTTACTTCATCTATACTATAGAAGGCAATAATACTCACCTTTCCTCACCCTCACCCCTGCCCTGCACAGAAGCCAAGTGTAGGGAAGGGCATGGACTTTGCAGAGAGACAACCAGAGCTTTCTCTCTACACATAGACCTCCACATGTGAGGTCTGGGATAAGTTCCTTGCCTACCCAAGCCTCAGCTTCCTCATCTATAAACTTAGAATATCACACCCTGGAAGATGTCATTAGGATTAGAGAAAATACCTGTAAACTTTAGGCACTTGCTAAGCTTTCAATAAATGGCCTCTATTGATGCTTGTGGCCCATTTTGTAAACTGTATTATATATGTAAGGCACTATTATTCAATTAATTAAAAAGGAATTAAAGGATATATTTAGTTGTATATTTAGTTCCTTTTAGGTTTGTGCCCAGTGCTTACAGGACACCCCAGAGGTAGGATACATGCTACACATTTGAGTAGACAATTCTCTACAAGCAATCCATGCTGGGCTAATGGGCCACGCTGCTCCCCCACTGATATAATAAAAATTCCAAGTGTTGTCCCCACCATGGAACAAATGCCCACCAGAATTGCATAATCATCCTTCCTTTTAGGAGCTGGGGATTACAGTTTATGTCTATTTTTTGTTGTTGTTGGAAACACTGTGACATTCTATAGCTCTGTAAACATTACAGCTTATTTCATTGAAAACGACCATTATGAGTAAAATAGGAAAAAAGAATGGTTACCTGTGTGCTGTTCTTCAATCCAGACTTGCAAATACATGAAGAGGAGCAGTCCCGCTACCCCAAATATGAGCACCGAGAGGAAGACTTGTTTGGGGTTCATGACCATTTCAGATGGCTGCCTTTCTCCTCATTTCTGAAGACCTCATGATTTGTTTTTCTGGGGAGCTTTGATCCTTTCTTGTTCTAGGAAGCAATCCTTCCATGAAGCCACCTAGAATTTTTAAAAAATCCACATTTTACCTTGCTGATGACATTTCTTCCCCAATACAACATAAATCTGCAGCATATCAACGCTAGTGAAGACGTAGGTGAACTTGAGCTCTCTGAAGACAGAAGGGACTGGAGGAGATTGTCCCTAGAATGGCAGTTTTCTACCGTAACCTTAGGAATGTATCGTCCTACCATTAATAAGTAAGACCCTCACATTTACTCAGGTGTAGCATAGCCAGACTGAGGCCACCCTATACTGGGAAGAGTACAGCAGGTTCAGGTTACCTCAAAATGATTGCGAGGGGAAGGAAGACTGTCAGAGCGGATTGTTGAAGGAGTTTTGAAAAACGTGTTTATAGAATAAAGGGGGGGGGAATCACTTCCTGACTGAAAAATATATAAAAATGGAGGGTTCAATCTATCATTTTCCTCTCATGTAAAAGTAATAGATTTCTCCACCTGAAAGGGTACATTTAAAAATCCCTCCGATGCACAAAAGGATAAATATTAAAAGGTCAGATTTAAAGGGCTTCCCCCACAAGAACATGGGAGTACAGAAATCAACCTCAGATTATAGAAATCTACTTTTGTAATGAAAGGTTTAAAGAAATATTGAAGTGACTTTGTTTTAGAACAACCTCATTTAGTGTAATCTTACCCTTTTACTTTTTGGAAGTTGCATCCATGTTTGAGAATCTAAGGAAAATGCAAACCCTCTTAGACAAATATAAACACACACAAAATCTTGCTTAAAGAGCAGGATGCTTAGTTATTGTCACTGGAACCCAATTTAAGAAGCCCTGCTTCCCATGAACTGCCATGCAAATACAGTCGCCTGCATGGTGAACTCACACAGTTAGTCCAGCTAATGAGGCCAAGGTCATGGCTTTGTATCTAGCACCAGCGAAAGACCTTGGCTCTGTTCTTTGGCCACAGACCACATCCCCTCTTTGGATGAGCTGAATGTTTTCTCACTGTCAGGACATCACATCCACTGCTGTGTCTAAAAATGATCTCTCTTTTTTCTCCAAATATGCCTCAAAAACTTAGGGGAGAATATTAATTTAGCCTTTTTAAGAGGTGTTTTGTGAGGGAGCCTGAGTGGTTCAGTCGGTTAAGCATCTGCCTTCAGCTCAGGTCATGATCCCAGGGTCTTGCGATTGAGTCCTGCCTGCTGCTCCCCTTGCTTATGTGTTTGCTCATTGTCTCTCTCTCTCTGTGTCAAATAAATAAATAAAATCTTTTTTTAAAAAAAGAGATGTATGGTGAGATGCAAGGAAAAATTTAAAAACCTGCTGCGGGGAATAAATAGTTGGTTGGTTAAAGGGTAAGATTTACATGTTCTTGGCAAAAACCATTTTCATATAAATGATGGCCTTCAAGGGTAACCTATGAGATCAGCATTATAAGGAAATGTGGTATGGTGATTCCCTGATTAGAAAAAAAAAAAAAATCCAGGGGAGCCTGGCTGTCTCAGTCATTTAAGTGTCTGCTGGCTCAAGTCATGATCCCAGGGTCTTGGGTTTGAGCCCTGCCTGAATCCATCATCAGGCTCCCTGCTCAAGGAGAGTCTGTTTCTCCTTTCCCTATGCCCCTCCACCCACTTGTGCTCTCTCTCTCTCTCAAATAAATAAATAAAATCTTAAAAAAAAGAAAAAAAAACAAATCCAACAAATAGTTAAAAGTGTATATGCAGAACAACATCAAAAAAGTCATGTTATAAATACCTTTTTTCCCTTATAGTTTAATTATTACCCAGAAGGGGCCAAAGGAAGAACAGTGATTGTTAGTATTACCTGAGGAGTTTTCTAGTATGCACTTGTCTGAGTCACCTGAGGAAGGGGCCACTGTTTTTCATGAGGGCTTTTGAGCATTTCAAGCATTTTCTTGATTTTGCTAGTAGAGTGAGTTTTTAAATAAGTAGAAGAACTGGGAATATCACCATACTGCTATTTGATGGGTGGCGCTTTGCTCTTATATTGATTGAAAGCTAACATCTTATGGGCTTTCCAAACATATGCAACAGAGAACAGTTCCCGAGGGAGAGCTGCAATTTGAGGTGTTCTGAGATTGGGTCCCTCAAGGGAAACGACGAGAAGCCAGCTTTCTCTTGTCTTGATGTTGCAGTTAAACAATGAACAGACATAATTCCTGGGTGCACAAGAAGATTCGTAAGGAAAAACCAGTTAAACAAAATCCAGTACTAACAGAGAAATAGCTGTTTACAAGAAGAAAAAGACTTTTACAATCTGTCTACATAATTAAAACTTATCTCAGAAGCAAGAGGATAGAAGAAGAGGCATAAATCAGAACAGAGACACGAACCTGTGGGAATAGTAGATGTGCAAAGCCAAAAGAGGTACTCCTTGAGGGTTTTCAGGGGAAAATTATTACCTACAAAGCTGGAAAGAGATGAAGAATTTGCCCTTCCTTTCTTCGGGAGATGTTGCTCTACTCTGACATATCCTCCTGGGTAAGAAGTCAGGAGAAAACCCGTAATTGTTATTATGGCAGATGTGAGTAGGATTGAGTGATTAAAGCCACAAGGCAGAAAGGCAATCTGGTGTAAAACGAAGAGATACGTTTGATTTTCTCCCATCTCAGTCCATTAACCCAACGTTGGCGTTAGGAAATGACTCTCATTAAACAAAGGTGAGGCAGGAGGAGCAACGCTGTTGCTTTAAGCAAACCTGAAGGTCAGTCGTGACGGGAAAACACACCTATTTGGAGATCATACATCTACCTCTACGCCTGCAGGAAAAGTGCAGACTACTCGAGACTGAAATTACTTGGAATAATGCTATTTTATGTACAAGCATTATACATTGCCATGGTCAGAGGCTTCCTGTATTTCATACAACCCCCTTCTCTCCCCAGTCACACACACAGTACCTTGAACCTTACCGGTACCTGACAGGGTGCATTGCACTGAACTGAATTTGGACCTCCAATAACAAAATACAGGCCAATTAACTAATTGTCTAGTTGTGCCTGTAAATCCTTCATCTTATCTTCCAAATGGAGAAATATGGACTATTAAAATCCTGAAAGAGGGATCTATGCGGTTTCGTTAAGAGAAAATACAAATTTATTTTTATTCGCATAGCCTCTTCATTTATCCCAAATGAACACAAAAAGATAGGTAAACACAATTGTTTCACTACCTTATCTCTTTTCTAGCACTTTAAAAATCATTCCTTTAAGATGTTCAGCATCATTCATCCTCAGGGAAACGCAAATCAAAACCACAATGAGATCTCACCTCGAGCCTGTTAGAATGGCCTCCATCAAAAAGACAGGAGCTAACAAATGTAGGCATGGGTGGGGATTAGAAAGGGATCCCTTGCACACTGTTGGTGGGACAGTACTGATGGGGCCGCTGAAGGAGAAGTGCACGGAGGCTCCTCAAGCAATTAAAAACAGAACTACCGTATGATCCCGCAATTCCACTTCTGGGTATTTATCTTGAGGAAATGGAAAAACTACGTCAAAGAGACATCTCCTCCCCCACATTCATAACAGTGTTATTTATAGCCAAGACATGGAAATAACCTCTGTCCACTGGTGAATGAATGAATAAAGAATATCACTCAGTGTATTCTTATTATTTTTTTTTGAAGATTTTATTTATTTATTTGACACAGAGAGAGAGCGCACACGCACAAGCAGGGGGAGCAGCAGGCACAGGGAAGAGAAGCAGGCTCACCAGAGCAGGGAGGCCAATGGGGGAATCCCAGAGTCCTGGGATCATGACCTGAGCTGATGGCAGATGCTTAACCAACTGAGCCTCCCAGGTGCCCCCTTTCTTATTATTCTTAAGGTACCATGCATCTTAAACTTACACAGTGCAGTATGTTAGTTAACATCTCAATAAAACTTGTCAAATTATTTTAAATTACCCTGGTTTCCAGGAAAAGCATTTTAGGACTTTAGTATACTAATTATTAGATGGAGGCAATTTATTTATTTATTTATTTTTAATTCTTAAAGATTCATTTATTTGAGGGAAAGAGTGCACCAGTGGGGGAGGGTGGCAGGGGCAGAGGGAGAGAGAGAATCTTGCCCATACATGGGGCTCAATCTTACAACCCTGAAATCATGGCCTGGGCTGAAACCAAGAGTTGGGCGCTGAGCTAACTGAGCTACCAGGGTGCGCCTGGAAGCAATTTATTTAAAAGGAAATTATGAGTTGTCCAGTTGGGCAGAAGTCTACAGTCTTGGGAAGGGATTTATGAAATGTAGAGAGGACAGTTTGGAACAAACTGGTGTAGAACAGTTTGGCACAAAAGAACCCTGGAGTCGGGAGATCACCTGCCTTTACTCTCCACCTTAGGAGGACCTCAGTAGTCCTTGCTGGTCTCTATCTCTTCCTCATACTCTGAGCGAGTGAGAGACCATCAGGGATGAACTTCCTCAATTTATCACCTGCCCTCACCAAGTTTACTATCATCTGTCCCGCCCACAGTTCTTTGCCTCTATCTCACCCAGATAACTGTGAAACTCAACTCCATCAGTACTGTGCCAGCCTGCGTCTTATCCTGAACCTCTTCCCCCAGTGACTTCCTCTGTAACCCCTCCAGCGACTGCCCTATTATCATCATTCCCAGATGAGCGTCAAGACAGCCCTTTGCCCGGACGGTCTCTGGTGCCCATCTCCCAGCCAACTCTCCCCTCATCATTGCCCAGGAAGCCAGAATATGTGAGGAGGCTCACAGGTTGCATAGGGACTGAAAACTTATAATTCCCTGGGATTTTATTTTGTTTTCCTTTTTCCTATTCTACTTACCTCCTCTATGAATTTCCTGTTTGTATTTCTTCCCCGTTTTATTGATGTGCAGCTCCTTTTGCATTTGGGATGACAATTCTTCATCAGTTCTAAGCATTACAAAAAAATTTTTCTTG